TTCATAAAATAATTTATATACTATGTAATATTTTGTGAGCGATATAACGGTACATTTCTTAAATAGCTCGTTATCAACAATGTTCATACAAAGCAACCTTGTGATGTCAGGTCAAAGAACGCGTCAATTTTCCCCTCCTGTTTCATATAACAATGCAATATAACTTCAATTTACGTTTAAACAAATCGAATAAAACGCTATCATCTGATTGTATCATATAAAGCAAACATATTGCCAGTTACTCAGAGCAACATAGCATTTCCATTAGATCCCATCTCAGCTTGTCAGCCGACGAGGAGATATTGGCCTGATCAAATTACCTTTGGATGGTTTCACCTCAGTGTCAGCGTTGCCATCCATCAATAATGTTATTCTTAAATTCTCACACTTAAATATTAAATACTAATTCCTATAACGATAGAATTATCGAAATTAAATCACGAATTTACACTAAGTATGTGGTTTAATTGAATAGTAATAGCTTCTAACCATCGGACTTCATAATCAAACGGATAATTACTGCCAAATTAAAACCAGCCAAATTCGAATTCATTGCAATTGGACAAGTCAGTCGCGTGTCTGTAATCATTTATCGACAACCGACGTCATTAATTACTATCGATAATTTCTGGATTCTATGCAACGAGCTGCCAATCCCTATCATCGAATGGCGTATTATATATGAATTTTAAATGTGTCTTGAATTAAAATGAATATGTGAGTCATGATTACTCATTTTATTAATTTATACTAATATAGAAATACATGAAAACAAATTTATTTCAACTCATATATTGCACCACATCAAATAGGTTTTAAAGTATGCAAGGAGATTGCGTATTTAACGTTCTAAATTTAAATATGGATGAAAATTATAATATATTGTCACAATAAATTCTTGAGAACCTATATTTCAGAATGTATCAAGAAATTAATTGACACGAATTGATGGGAATCAATAAGGCTTAATGTTATAGTAAAATCAAAAAAGATTTACTTTAATAGTAATTACATAAAATTTCCTACGTAGCTGTACGGCTTCGATACAATTCGCGCGGTGTAGATGTGACGTCATCACAATGGCAGCCGTGTCACAGAAGCCATAAGCGGGCGCCGGCGCAGTCTAACGTACTTAAATACGATACATTATACATTGCCTGTTTCTATATAACTTTTATAATACAAACGTAACACGAGATGCGCTGTATATCGTCTTGTAATATAAGTTATGAATTTTAGTATTATCTGTCGAGGTGAGTGTAAGTAGAATAAATTAAGGCTAATGAATGACTTATTGTGTGACGGACAGGAAATTATTATTGGACCGCTCGAGTTACTGAGGGTTAATAATAATATTAATACAAGAATCGAATGTATGTTCATTGAATTCAAAGAAACAAAACGTGTGTCGTAATACTCGGAGTTCGGACATTGAAATTCATGACTTAGAAAATAAATGGTTTCTTAATAACTGTGGTCGCATTTATTACTGTTATTTCTATAGGGAGGTATAATTATGTGTATTGTTTATATATTTACGTGTATGTATTTAATATGAATTATATTTTTACGAATAAATAGTTTGTTAGAATAGTATTAAAGGACAATCTTATACGAGTATTAATACAAGTAGATGTATTTAACGTACTTCCAGTGTGTTTCATACTGTATGGGTTACTTTGAACTTGTTCTGCATGTCTCGGTAGCTTGTTCTTAATACAGCTTAAGCGAGCCTTTGACGGTAATAGGCATCCCGTGCGGATCTTTGACGCTTATGATACTTAAAGTTTGTCGTGTTAACATTTTCATATATTAAATTATTATATACAATATATTTATAATTAATGATAAATTTAATATTTAGATTCGAAATTTCTGGGAATTATAGAATAAATAAAATTCCTGGAAATAGGTTTCTTTGAAGAGAGTATTTAGATATAATTGTAATATTTTTCGATCATTTCATATAACACAAGTGTCATTATACCGAGTAACGTCTCAATGAAACAAAAGAGATTACAATAAAAATGTTTCACTTTTGTACTAATGTTATTGTTATGAACTTTTCAACTTTACGCTCTTTTGTTATAATTGCAAAATGGCAACAATTTTATTGCTCGGAGATAATATTAAATTCTTGGAGTAGATTATATTTGAAATTTAATTTCGGCGAAATATTAAGTTATTATTGGATACCTAAGAAATACTAGAAAAAATTAATAAAGAAACCCCGTATTGCCATTTATTTGGAACAATAATCGTCCTCTTATTGTGCCTTTTAATATAATCTGTACAAAAGAAATTAATCACGCTCAAAAACACACTAACGAAAAGGTTTATAGAACCTTCTTGATGGGGACGGCTCAAAAAAAATTCCCGCCAAAACAGATAAGGGTTGACATGTGACTTGGTTTTATGGCGTAATCATGCTTAATTTGAATGATAATTACTTTAGCATGGGTTTGAAATTTCGCTGTCATCAGTAGACATCTAGTAATTTGGCTCGTCGCTTAGGTACCATTTAGTTAGTGCTTCGCTTAGTAATTAGTAAGTACATCTCTGAATCAGTGTCGAGACGTTTATTTTGGCTGAATGATTGAAACTAATGTGTCAAATACAAACATTTGTTAGTGCAGAATGTTTATTTCAATCAAATAGATGAACAATTCGCTTCGTTTGTTCTATATGTAATTAAAAATGTCGATTTATAAAACACACGTTTTTATATAATGAGTTAAGGGTTAATTTCATTTGTCAAACGAAAACATTGTGAGTTATTTTTTTTTATTAATTCGACCTTCAATTGCAGCAAGAATGGGTCTCGTAACTACACAGTTGAGCGGTAAATAGCTAACTAGACATACCTGATAGATGATCTATTTAAAATAAGGATTTTGTTCTGCAGTAACTTTACATTGCTATTTTTAATATATTACCAATTTCTATTTTTCTCAATTATTGAATTTTTTTTTGTTCAATATATCAGAGTAAGCAAGAAGATATTTTAACCTATAATGACAAAGTAGAAGGAGTAAAAAAAGGGTGTTTGCACTAGAACGGTAGTTTTTAATCTAACATATTAAAATCTTTCTATAAACAAAAACTTATAATATATTTGCATGAAAATAATATGGCGGCCACGAAATAAAATGTACAAGAAATGCAAAATATGTAGTCCCCAGTATATAATATGGCCCTCTTTTATTGTATTCTTTCACAATCTTTGGATGTACGACAGTATTTTAAAAAATATATATTATTTAAAGTCCTACAAGTTTGCAGTTCTACGAAGTTGCTAAAAAAAGCAAAGCTTAAGACCTCACAGCCAACTACGAATATAAAAAAATATAATATTTTTTATCTACATTCCAGCTAAGATAGCTCTCTATACATAGGTTTATATATAAACCCGCATGCAATTTTCATCTCAACCACAAATCCTGGTTCATGCTTTTTAAATATATTCATCAGTCAGTTGATACTTTTAATTTTTATTATTCATTATAATTTTTTACTTTAATATTTAATGCCTATATTGCCGTATTAAATGTTACGTTGTTAAGTAACATAATATGACGAAGAATTTATGAAATAAAAAAAAAAGGTTCTAAAATTTAAAATTTTTAACCAGATTCATACCTATACATTATTCGAAAGTATGATTCAAAGTAATTTAAGTAACAATTCAATACAAGATATTTGTAATAAAATTCGTGTATCTAACTATTTACATACATTATTTTGTTGCGCTCTATAAAGCGCGGTAAATATTTGTTTTTATTAAGATAAAGCAACCATTTCTTGTGCACAAATGATAAGTGAGCGTCTAATTAAAACGTCACCCCTTATCAAACGGACGTTTACCTATTACCTAACTATGAATCGCTTTGTTTCTACGATACTTGACCAAAAGTGTATTTTCATTACAATTTGTAGGTTATATTTAAGTGTTAGGTTTAGTTGAATAATGTAAAATACCACGATATGAATCACTATGTGACGTCACCGTGCTGAATGGCTCAAAATTTCTAGTTTCCGAGAAGTGAACAATAGTGGATAGAACAATGGACAAGCGACAGGCGGTGTCATAGTTGCGCGAGCACAGGTAAGAAAGCATAAAGGTGTTTTAGCTTACCTTTTGTATACTGCGCTGACGCCACCGCTAGAGAACCCACTACGAGCGCCGCAAGAAAACCCCTCTCTCCCCCGCGAAACATTTTCTGTAACTTTATTTAAATTTCAAGCACGTCACTACAGTAAAAACTTGTCACAAGCTGCAAACAAGCACTCACGGAGTCGTGTATTCACACAAAACACGCACACTATCACAGAATACAAACGCACATCCATTTGAAAAATGTTCGTTTATCCGATACAGGTAACCGCTTCGCACGACTCGTGGGACGATGCATGCAGGTAAAACGAGTAAGCCTATTAAGTTTCAATAACTTAAAACTATCTATTTAGGCCGTTCTTGGCTTATTAAACACTTAACTATACGTCCGACACGGCAGTTCCGAATAAAATTATGTTTTGAAACTTTACATATTTTCGTAAAACAATTTCGAAGTTGAGAGCGGTAACAGGCGTGTGGTGCAACACGACCGCTCCGCGCATCGTTCGCGTTAGACTGGCGTGAAGTGAGCGAACAATCAACAAGTTGCGATCGCGCGAGGCGGGCCGTTACGGCAGGAGCATGCGCTATCCGCTTCTATATTCATACTCGACTCTGCTACTATGTTGATTTTACCGCTCGGCAAAACTTTAAAACATGTTTTTTCGCGACAGGACAAGAAGGTAGAAGCCCATCAGGCTATTTTCTAAGACTGCTGCCTCTAGTCGATCGGGTTATGGTAAAGTGAGGTATATTAGAGTGAACAGCAAAAAAGGCCAATTAGAGGTAGATAACATTTTACTGATACTTATATTTTTATTATATAAAAAGTTGCATTGAGAGATTGATATAACAGAAAAAAATTGCATCACCTTGAAAAAAAATCTTAAGTACAATCGACGAAACAATATTGAGATTGAATTAAGGCGCCATCTTGATCTTGTTGACAACTTCCTGCCGAGGCTTGAGATAAATGTTCACTCTGAAATGCAAAATCCTCAATTTAAATTTAAATACGTGCCAAAATAAGGAAACCATTATTATATTATAACAGATGATAATTCACAAATTGTTATTACAATTAAAAAGACATTAAATAGTCATTTCAAGTCAGTATGTAGGTGCATACAAATGCATGTTAATATAATTTTTATTACAAATAAAACTTTTGTCAAAAAAAGAAGAAAATGTCTTATAGAATATTCTTACAAACTTTAAAATTTCGGCTTTCGTGACGTAAGAACAAGTCATAATAACATTTGTAGGAAAAAATACACATCGATATTTGTAGGACTAATTATGATTATAAAAATATATGTATATATCATAGATACATATGTATGACCTGCCTACTCTGTAAAATTTATTTAAATATATCTATATATTTCAATATAGAAAAATTTTCATAGTATTTGAATACTTATAATAAATATAAATCTCAGTACACAAAATAAAAAATCAAATCACGTAATTTCCTGACTCACTAAATAAAAAAAAACAATATGATCCGATCAAAACATAACATAAATGCCAATACCCATCAATATTAGTTACTTATATAATCAAAACAAGCTTTCCCTTTTAACCTTCATTACATCACGACCTTATAATTGACATTCTTCAACACAATTAAACAGTAATGCCCTTACGTTGTAATGCCGCTGTTTATTTCTCGTCCTTAGCTGTGTCCCGGGGCCACAATTCCCGGAGTCTGGTACACAAGGAGACCATTCGTTCCACTTGCCCAGAGCGCATTGTTTTTGGTCTAGGTATTGTCTTGATTCGAGTAGAAGTGGTTCCGCGATGTTCCTAAAAACATAGTATTAACACTTAATTTCTGAAATTCACATCTCGTCTGCCAGTGATCACGGTTGCTTCAAAATAACCGAAACGTCGGAAGTATGGAGTTTTTTAAATAATAAAGTGACGCGTAGTAATTCGAAAATATTAAGTAGTTTCATCTAAATGAATACTTGCGAAAGTCTTAGATCTCGTTATAGTATTTTCACCTTATTCATAAGTATATAATTGTATTAGTTGTAAAGAATATAAAGTTCTTAATAGATGGGGAAGTATTTCATTGAATAAGGTGAATATATAACTTGGAAGATTAACATTGTTGTAACAGCTTGTTTACAATTATTAATAAATTGTAATGAATTCTAAACAGTTCCTTCTATGTGCAAAAGATTATTAAAAAAGATCAAGTTTCTTAATTATCGTGGTGAAAAGAAAATAATTATAAAGATAATAGCATTAAGTTCAATAATTATTGTTTAATATGCGTTACTCACTCCAACACCTAAGGCGAATCAAGGAAATAAATTACATCAAAATTTATTCATCTATTTTCCATTTCGGAGCGAACATTCTAACACATACATATGTACATACAAACATATACATAATCTCTGCAGTCAGGAAAAAATAATGAACAAGTACCTACTAAATTTAACGTTTCTAACTTTACACAATTTGTAAGAGAGTAAATTTACTTAATATAAAATATCCGTAAAGAATTACTTTCTTTCAGAGCAAACAACTTCTAAAGTAGAACATAATATGTAGGTTACCTGTAAATATACTTAAAGGAAGAAATTCTTTCACGTAGTGCTTAACATTTTCGCTTCTCTACAAAAGGATAAACTATGGCGTTATTTCATTATGTTTTAATCCTCTAACGCGTTCCTTCTCAAGATGTGCTAATTTCAAACCAGAATTTCCTTTGACGATCAAAGATTATTATTTGAGATAAATCTTATGAATAAATGTAATACTTACTCCGCATTTTGTTTTTCCCCTTCTTCCTGGGGACCCTCCTCGTTTGTACCTTTTAAGAACAGATCGAAAATGGTTTAATCTATGGAAACATCACGATAAATAAAACGTTTGCGTTTTAAATAGATTTTGTGGCATTGAAATCAAAATCTTTTATACATTATTGAATATAAATATATCAATAAATATGAAATGTACAAAAATATACCTTCACAGTCAATTCCGACAAGAGGGTAGACATCAAGTCTCCTAACTTGAAGCTTAGCGAAAGCCTTCAAATCGTTTAAGTTCAACTGATAAAACGGGGACTCCGCATCAAATGACCCGACCGCCACTCTCTCTACATTATCGACTGGCTGCGTCACTGATCTAGGAGACTGGGAATATCGTGATAAAATATATTATTAACCTCATATTATAGATACATATAGAGGAACACTTACATTATATGTACTGTATATAATATTAATAAAAAGAATAAAGGTTAGGTATAACATAATTTTTGTTTAAATTTATATTTTATTGTTAACACAATAAGTTTTTACCTCGTATGAAACTCCGTCCATAGTGCCAGCATCCCACGGATATAATGGTATCTCGTATTCCTCTAACCAACCTTCTTTCGTACATAGTTCGAAATTGTACACTCCCAAAAACCAATCAGGAGACGGCTTCATAGCGACCACTAATGAGAACAAATGGTGAATACGATCCACTCTGAATAAAGAATGTGCTGGTTCAAACATGTGCGGGTGACGGCGACGTTTTCCTCTGATCAAAGTCCTGGTACCATTTTCTTTAGACATCTAGAATGTTCATTGAAACCGCCTCAAAAAATTGGATTAAGAAATAAAATTAGAATGTATGAAATGTATTATATATAGTACTATAATAGAAAATATGTATAGCTTAAGCTATTATACATTTATCAGTACAAATGTCTGTTGTATTTCCCGTTACTTTCAAACTTATCTACATTAGCTCAGCGACCAAATAAATATCGGTATTACCGCCTTTATTATTTCCCTTTCGATTTCCGTAACGTTTGCGTCCTCGGCCAATCTCTTTAAGCCGAGACTCGCTTTGTCTCCAGGCTTCCACAGAAGGTATTTATATGCGTGGGAAGCTCCAACCATGTGACTATAACTGTTGTCGTCAGGTCTACTTGGGTAATGAAGAGGATGAGACATTCTAGACCAACGACCCTTAAATATCACCTGTAATGTTTAAAACATATATAATCAAGATCAAGAAATATCATAAAGTAAACTTGCAACTTAAAAAATATTGTTTTATGCTCGAAAATATAATATTAACGATAAAGTTTGTAAGTTCTAGTATTCTTAAATTTATTTATTTGTAAAATGTTTTGATCGACCATATGTATGAGAGTTTTTCACAAAAGAAACATTTTTCACATTACATTTCATGTAAAACAATAGGGCCGAATAAGTATGTAACCCTTCTATTAATTGATATAACGTATTTAATAAAATAAAATTATGTTTCAAGCTTTTTTTGACAAGACTATCTTCTAAAAAGTAATAAAACATCGTGTTAAATCTAAAATAGTAAAATACTCAAGTTAAGACCAGAAATGTTAGTTTTATATAAATGTTTATTTGGAAAACATATATATAATGCTATATAGATTAGTTAGTACTTTACCTCATATCTGGCTTCGCTGCATAAATTACACGGATCCACAGGATCGAACGGAGGACTGTCCAAAGCCCTCTGATCATCCTTCTTCAATTCAATCGTTAGATTTTCTCCAACATACCAAGACTCCCCATTCTCAGCTATCATAGCCCTAAGACGTACTTTTTCCTTGCCTTCATATTGTTTTGGAGAGACCCAATGTATCTATAAATATAAGAGAGCAAAAGATTTAAATATAAACATCACTTGTTTATAAACAATCCAGACCGTTGCTTCGTCTTATGAATTATTATTATGTATATTGTAAAAATAAGGGTGTTTATGGACAGTAGAGATAGGGATAAACATTCGCCTTTCCACTCACCGGACGAAAAATGGCTATGAGAAATATAACTACATACTAAGTGAATGTTCCACGTGAGGGTCATATTACCCTGGAGGGCAGCCCTTTTCTCGCTTTCAGTAAATTGACCCAGGCAATTCTATTTCACATAAATCAGATAAATCGTTCAGAATTAACGCGATGTATCAATTTTACTGGACAATCATTGGACGTGCTAGTTACAGGAATATACGGAGTGGTTTTATTCATTTGAATTTTTATCATTCTAAGGTTCGAATCCAATTCGCAAATATCTCAGTACGAAATAGTTTACTTATAATTTGTCTACAAAAGAAAGTCTAAGGTACGATGTAAAACAAATCAAAAATATGCTAAGATACACAATTAAATCGAGAATCTTATTTGCTATGATAGTCCTGAACCCATAAATGGGGCGAGTCTAGGTTTGAATTAAATGCATAATATTACCTCAACTCGATATTTATCCGAGTTGTCAGTGTTCTCGACAGAGTTGTAACAACGTTCACTGTATCTCGATTGTCTGTTGGTCGTCTTCAAGCTGCCCACGTCTTCTGATCTCAGGTCGAATTCAAAAGCACCTTCGTCAATGTTTGGATCTTCCACAGTTATCATGAACCATCGGAATGGACGGGTTGCATTGCTCGTTGTTAGAATAACTGCAAAATATTAATCAAATATTTAAACAGTAATATGTACTATATTAACTATTGGTATCTAGTGCAGTAAATATATTTTAGTAAACAGCAAATATTTGGATCTTTATAATGAAGACATTAAATAGTTTTTACTTAATAGTGAATGTAAGTACAAGAATTTATTTACATTGTTTGTTTAGTCCCTTGTAATAATCACGGAATAACAACAGATTAACTGTCCCTTGTTTAACATTATTGTTCCGACAAATGGTATAATTATCACGAAGGTTTAATAGCAATGCCAATAATAAACGGTTATTGAAATATATGATTTAAAACAATGTGTTTTAAAAATGTGTACCTACTATAAAACTCAAATAATAATAAGTTAAATTTACTTTTAATTAAATATGTACATTACTGTATATTACATATGGTTTCATCCTTTAGTCCTCACTCAAAGTGAGGATCCAAATTTTTAATTCGTTTCAAATTTACTGTTCATTTACAACTTAAGACAAACATAATAATACAAATAATAATTATATTAAAAAACTCAATGTCTGAAAAATATATTGCACGTATAGCTTGCAAGTCGTTCTTATAAATATACCTACACGAAAACCCACAGCAGATGCAGGGCTTTTCTAAGGAATTTACTAGTCTCCATATTAATATGATACTACAGAAATACAAAAAGTATATGTTTTCAGAACATGTAGTGGATATTCTAATTCACTATACTAACGTATATACGTCTGATCGGGTCTATAGATATTGGAATCGTCGCCCTTTGAGTCAATGGTCATTTTGAAAAGGCCTTTATTTTCGCTAGGCGTCAAAATAGTGGCTTGGGGCGGCGTTTGATCACATTTTCCAGGCTGGCCAGATGCTAATGTAGCTGATAACAGTATCACGAGGATAATATACCTGTTGAGAAAAATATATTTTTAATAAATGATAAACGCCTTAAAGAATGTAACGAGCAAAATGTTAATACTGCGTTACTGAATTGCTTTTACAATTTAAACAAAATAGTTTAAAAATCCTTTAATATTTATAGCATTAGAAGTTCGTGTATTAAGAAAATACATTAAAACAAATTATTCTCATCGCACACAAAATGTAAACTGTTTAATCTATTGAAATAATTTATAGATATAGCGCCTGTACAAAATATAAAGTGCACTTAAAATAAACTGCAAAGATTTACTCCTGATATACAATCAAATTAGTGTTTGCGAAGCCCATTCCTTGTTCCTATTCTAGATTTCTAATTAGGATATGCGAATGAACTGGATATTAAAGTATTCTGCATTCATTGTTATTGTTACTGTTATTATAAAATGTTTTGCTTATATGACGTCAGTGTTATTGTTTTGACACAATATAAACAGCAGAGCTTTAAGTTATATAAACAGTAATATAAGTGTTGAAAATAGCAGTCAGACAACAAATAAACCACGTTACAAATAAACAAATACATACATCCTTATCAATCCGAAAGGCCTCGATCAGAAATCACCACTTTTGTATTGGTATTTTTCCGTGACGTTTAACACATGAATGGCAAGAGCGTTTTATTGAAATAAATGGTTGTAAATACGAATAGAATACCGGGAATGTATTAGGTTAACCTAGCGTCAACTCGCAGTGTTCGCCGAATGAACGAGCGATTGGACGCTTGCCAACATTGCTTGCTCCAGAAAAGAATCAGAGACGTTTCATATTAATGACACGCGTTAGGTTTTTTATAGCAAATATTGTTTTTTATTTTATTCATTAATATTATTTATACATTTCCTATAAATGTCAGAAAAAACAATGATGTTACATAAAGAGTTGCTGAATTGATTCAGTGTTCTGAAGATGTGTGTGTCACTGAAATTGTATATAGTTCCTCATAATCTTTAAAGTACCTCCATTAAAAAAATCAATTTCATCTGACAACTATAATAATTGTTAAATTTTTTTTTATTCAAATCTTTAAATCAAGTAGATAGATAGATAAAACTTTATTTGGTCCACACCACAACATGAGAAAAATAAAATATAAACAATAAATTTGACCACATTTCTCACTGTCGAGCAGAGCTCAAATGGCTTCCCATCCGCCAACGCAGAGAATTACGTCTATTGTGTCTTCTTTTCTCTATTCTTTTTGATCCCCAATCTCCTCTTTACTTAAAAGATAATTTTAAATTTCTCTGCGACAATCATGATCGACAGCTACGCTCTAATGACTCTCTCCTCCTCTCTTTTCCCAGCCACCACTCTGGTTTCCTCTCCAACTCCTTCTCTGTTAAATCTATCAGACTGTGGAATAAACTTCCACTAGAAATAAGAAAGGCACCTACAAGGGCAATTTTCAGGCGTCGCTTACAGGAACATTTTGCTCAGAATCTGTGTTAAGTCTCTGTTTTTATTATTGTTTTTGGTGTATTGTATTTGTATGTGTATGTATATGTATATGTATGTGTATGTGTATGTATATGTATGTGTATGTATGTGTATGTATATGTATGTGTATGTATGTGTATGTGTATGTATGTGTATGTATATGTATGTGTATGTATATGTATGTGTATGTATATGTATCTATATATATGTGTATATATTATGTATATATCAATAGAAATTAATATGTATATTTTTACTTTTACATACTACCGTCTTCATGTCTTTCTGCTTTGCCTAAGGGTTGACTGGGAGAGAATGCCTTCAGGCATTAAGTCCACCTTTTGTATCTACGTGTGTAGTTAGACAATAAAGATTTTAAATAAAATAAATAAATAAGGAAATATTAAAATACAAAAAAAAGAATAATAATAATTAAACAAAAAAAAACTTATAGCTAACTTACAAGAATAATTACATCTATGTTTACTTAATCTAAATTAAATTATATAAACAAAAATAGATTTACTACCACAAAGCTATAAAAAAACAAGAAAAATGAAAAAATTATAATAATTAAATAGACTAAAATAAAAAGAGAGTGCAAATAAATTTTGAAGTGGTGTGGCATCCAAAATGGAAAACCCCATCAGTTAAAGCTGGCATAATACTTTCCCAGCACTAATTTTCAGAGTCTTCCATGTGACGGTGACGTACGGTGGTGTAAGCATGACAAATAAATTATTAAAGAATTAAAGATTAAAGAAATAATGATAATTATAAACTTAAAATTCAATCCAAAGAACTGTAACTCTGACTCAACTCAGCGACCACGCCATGATATGTTATGGCGGCAGGTGCTATAACGAAACAAATAAAAATTTAGGTAAATATTTTTTTTATATACAAATGTTTTGTGTTGCCTTAGAGATGCCGATAATAGTACTCCTAAAAACTATAGTGGAGACAGACACTCCGCAACCAATATGACGTGAAACAATCTGCATTAAGCAAATTGGCCATGTAATTATAGGTATATTTTTAATTAAATACTAACCTTTATACTATTAAATATTTATATCAAAATCAATATATATATAACTTTTAAACAAGTACACGAATAATTTTAAACAAGTGGTAAAATATTATGATTAACTTTTAGACTTACTGTATTCTGTACATATTTGGTGAAAACTGAAAATTAACAATACTGTCTTTTCTGTTATCGTTCATATTAAATATTAATTAAGTATAGTACCCCAAAACATATCTGTTGTTCTAGCATTGCCAGCTACATAATAGTCAATTATTTGTCAAATTACGGATTATTTGAAACGTATTACTTTTATATAACTTCAGTAAAATATAATTCAGGAATTCATATCTTTGTAATTAATTTTCAAAGATTACTTACATATTAAGGAAATAAATAACACTCCTATCTTTATAAACTACTTTTGCGTTAAATAAATGAATTTAATGTTAACGAAAATCCAAGACTGTGGTATATAAATATAATTTCCTTCCTTGCTTTGATATATTTGTTTGTATATAACAATTGTCCGTTAAAGTTTATGAACCCAGTTTCAAAACACGAAAACCAATACATACTACGATATATCATTTTTATTCTTCTACGTAATAAGCAAGTCTTCTATATTGTTGTTATTGTTTGTCTAGATTCCCAATCTAGATTTTATTAAAGGCAATAACGGATAGCGCAAACGGATATAGCCTCGCACTGAAATAAGTCGTATTTTAAAGTTTTCCTATAATTATGTTTAGTGAATGGGTTTCGTATTGTTAGTGGCAAAAGTATATAAGACATTTAAGAATATAGGACAAACATTTAAAAAATCATTACGTTATTTCATGAAAACGGTTTTTTCAAAAAGGAATCGACGCGACAGTTGTGAGTCCCGAGATCAGGTCTAATTTATTGTAAAGAATATTTTACTGAATTATACTGTTCAACCGTTGTTAATTTTATCACTGGATGCGTTAAAGTATCCATCAGCACATAACGATTTGGTACTTAAATATATGTACTTATAAGAATATGTAGATAATTGAAGATTTGTAACATAAAGATATACTCTGTTTTATAATATAACTTACTCGACAAATAAGGAAAAACGAAATAGCGTTAAAACTTATTGTGATAGTCATAACAATATTAACGACACAAATTATTTCTGCTACATAAAGTTTATCTTTCTTGTCTTTTGAAACTTTTGAATTTCCTGGAACATGTCGTTATTTATATTACATTTGACTTTCACATTGGCTTTGTTAGATAAATATAAAGAATATTCTCTTCTTTCATAAACATTTGTTTACTTAATAATCTCACAGCTATTTCAATAACAAATATGATGAAACACGAGGGATGGTTGAAAAACTTTGTGGCTAATGGCATATGTGAGGTTTAAATTTGAACAATTTTAAAAGTCAAAAATTTTATGATTTAACATTCGTCACCTGTGGTTGACTGTTTTCATTTGCAAATGATGTGGAAATTTGCCAGCATTGAACGCAATTATGCTTTAAATGCTGATATATTTGGGGCGTTCGTTAATTAACCACCACAAAAGAACTGTTACTTAAATTTAAACTAATAATAAGTTCTACTCTAGGTTACTTTCTACTAGAATAGATTGGAGTGTGACTAATTTCTAGGCTTAGAGAAACAAATAAATTTCTATCTTTAAGCTACATTGCACAAGATATATTATAATTTTCTTTCTATTGTGTTTTGTTTAACTTTTTTGCTTGATCTCTTTAGGATATGCCGAACATTTAGACCTCTCTCAATGACGATCTTAACTTTCATCTGTTACAATATTTCAAGTTTCCTAAAACGGTAAAATTAATTAAACATTAATCTTCCGTCGTTTAACAAATGAAATCCTCATTTCAATTTATTTATAGCCTATTACGTAATTAATCGATTTTCATTCTAACAATCTCTTAAAACTGCCTTTCTACAAGACTCATCGAAAGATTATCAAATTATATATCGGCTTTTTCCCCAATTAGATAATTTCTTTCCTATTAGTTTGGGGTTTTTCTCGACATTTACACGTCATAAATATGCCATAACCACGAAAAGTATTTCATTCAGTTCAACGACCTCCGTTTACGGGAGTAGAAGAATCTAGAGAAAAAACAAGCACTTTTTGCTGAGTTAAACAAATGACCTATCACGTATCACTTAATCTATTAATTTGGGTTTTCTATGTCCTAATTTCTCTAACTATATCTATTTGTAAACTATGTATGAAAATTATCTTTGGGCTTCGTTTACTACAGACTTAGTATTGTATAAAAGCTAGACCAATGATAGCCCAATAGAACAATACCTCATTGGGGAAAAATTTTGACAAAAAACTTAGACAATGCAAGAGGTCCATGTTTCATTTTTGTTGTGAACAGGTTCATCATCCTATACTGACCAACCACATTTGACCCCAGTTTTTCAGACTTCATAAATTCCATCTCTATGAAACGTGTTATTAAGTGAAAACAACGTCAGTTAGTATAAAGATTGAAGAATATATTGACTTATATAAAATACTTCATTTTTGTTAAAAACTTTTCTTCCACCTACGTACGTACGTAACTTCACGTGTAGGTAACAATTGCAATTGTTTGTTCCACGTGTAAATGACTGACAATGAGGTACCCTAGTTAGGTAGTGTATTTTTACATAAATTAATATAATGTTTTAACTTTAAGGCTGAATAATAATAAATTTTTAATTTGTAAAAATGAAGTCTTACTAGGTATACCTTATCAGAATATTTTATAACAGTTTCAAATTTATAAAAATTTTCAAATAATATACTTGTACTATATTAAGGGAATTTATTTTATAGGTAATTCATGTCGAAATGTGATTTATTATGAAAACGTCTCTCCAATCTTCACCTTGATAGCCCACGTATAACCTTTGAAGTAAATCAATGCTCATTAATAAAATACATAGCATGTAAATTTTGTTAATAAAACTCTCAGATCCTTTAACAAAAGCTTTATTTAAGAAACGAAGTAAGAGATTCGTCAAAATTATGACATTAATATTAACTGTAACTATAGAAAAATGTGCCCTGATCATAAATTAAAGATATGTATATTTTAATGTACAATTAGATTTGATTTTCACTTATCATTATGTAACACTTAATAATAACTTTACAGATTCGTATGATTATAATAGTATTCAGGTATAAAAGCAAACGAAACATATATAAAAAATATTTTTTTGACAATAAATAAAATCATTTACTTTATATAGAATATCAAACAAGTATAGTTCAAATAAATCTAATATGATACAAAGGTTAGGCGTAGTGTCAAGAGATGGCGCTACTTGTTCAACACTCAACTACAGCTGTGTAACGTGTCCCCTCGGAATACTCGTCGTCGGACAACTGTCTGTTACATTTAATACTAGATGACCCGTCGAACTTCGTATCGCCGTATAATCAAGGAATATCTGTTGTATTTTTATCTGAATGAAGTTGATATCCTTATTCCTCTGAACGGAGTCTTGCCTGGTTCAACCTGAAAAACATTAATCACTCACTTTCTACTTTTACATTCACATCAACAGCATATTGGTGACAGAGACGCTAACATATTAAGATGTAATTGACCTCAACTTCTCCAACCATTAACCTGTATGATAATAATTCATTGAACTTTTTTGTTAGTTTCAGAACCTAAAAACATTTTTTTGTGATAAAATTATATAAATTACTTAAAGCTATGATAAACATTAAAAACTTAAAATTTTTATTTACCTGTAACTGGATTTATCATCTTCATTAAAAATAATACCCATCACATTTATATATGTTTGATGTGTTTCAGACACATGCTGCAGTTGATTGTTACACCGGTGTAAACCAATATTGCGGTTATCTACATTTTCACCCACAATGACAATAGCGACTTCATCAATTCTTTGGGCATTAAAATGTCTTATGTGTTAACAATTTTATGATTATCAGATGCCATGTGATCTAATGCGGTCTTGAATAATGCAACCAATGAGTTGTGTTGATGGAATAATAATTGAAGCTGTTCCACAACTGGTCTCTTCACAGAATAGTTGTGAGCACAACGCTGATCGACTTGTCTTCCTGAATCACCCATGAAATTTATTTGGAAAAATTTATAGTCACTGACTGGCACTGGTAATAACTAATAAGTTCAATGATATATTTTTCCTTGAATCTGCAAAGGTAAACATTCCTTTATTACATATACATATTGTAAAGTGAATTGTTCAAACAACCAAGTGACACTCAGAATACTTTGTAAGCACTACCATATTCCCCATCAACTTTTTTAACACAATTCCTTCTGGCTACTAAAAGTAATTCACAGAGCTACAAATGTACTTTAAGCCATTTCAAATGATACCAAATTATACCATTACAATTGAAAACTTTCAATAATAGTGGTAAATGTTATTCAATACACTTACCTTAAAAGTTATCATAAAATTTATTGTACTGTAGTCCATTTCTTTGTTATAATCAAATGCAGCTCTATAGGTGTTAAAAGCAACACTTCTATATCGTTGGTTTCGGTTCCATCGATTCTGTTCAACTTCATTCCGCGTTTAACGTTGCTCATCAGTTAGACTTGCTCTTCTATTTCTTTGACTTCAGGCATTACGGGTTCTGCGATTTAAGTTTGTAATTAGACATAGCCGGCATGTTTTGAAACAAAATTCAACTGAAAATAAAAAATACTATTATTCTATTCCTATCCTTTTGTAATAGTATCAAAATGGTCTATCAAAACTTTTCAACACTATAGTAATTTGACTTACCTTGTTGAAGAAACACTTCAGAAAAAAACACACAGTACAAATTATCCTGTAGAAACCAATGTGAAAATTACACTAAGAAATGGTAACAAATTTACTGTTTGCAAACAATTTGAAAGAATAACTGAACTTTTAAGACAGAGACAATAGTTTATCATAGACTAATATAGTCATACAAACGTCAATCTCAGCTTATGTATCGCTCATTTAAAAGTAAGTAATTTTAATCATGTAAATTGTAAATCATAATTATTAACAAAAAAAAAATCAGTTCCATTTTCATTGTATTGCTTTGTAATAAACGATGTTTTTTGTTTGATTACCTCGCGCATAGACAAACAAATCTGATGATTATTATTATATTTTGTGACTATTCAATTGGTCGGGTCTT